TTCTTTATTTATTGTCATTGTGTTCTAATTACAATCTCAATTTGACTCTTCTTGATTAGAATGTTTTTTTTATTTAGGATGATTTAGAAGGCTACAAGAATGATTTTATTGTTACTAATTTCACCTTCTATCTTTTGGAGGCATATTGTTAATTATGGATTTACGAAGCTACGAGTAAGCTAAAACTTATATACACATTACAAGAATTCATATAATTTATTAATAATTGTAAATTTTCAATCTCGACATTTGCATTCCTCACCAAATGTAGAATGGTGTGTAATGAGGTTAGGGGTATCACTCATTTAGTTGATGGTAAATCCGTATTTGATGTTTATCATGTGATAATCTATTGAATTGATGCTAAGGTATCTTTCTCCTTTTATAATAGTTTTCATGTACATATGTCATATATATGTCATTTGCATGGTTTATAGTTGATTGCCCACTTGAGTAGTTTAGCCATTTGTTTATGGTGAGCATCGATGATCCAACTTCTTCATTCATGTTGCCTTTGAGCTTGTCCTATGGCTATTTTCTAGCTCATAAGTTGAGGTTCATGACATGATATATTGACGATAATGGTGCATGGGAAAGATTGATTGATAAATTCATATATAACGTTTATGCATTAACTAGTAGTAGTTATGGAAGGCATAGAAGGTTTCCATAAGAGATATATATATATATATATATATATATATATATATATATATATATATATATAGCAAGAAGGGACATTCTCAAGATAGTAGTTGTGCATAAGCATTTGCGGGGTGCTCTTATTATTTCACTTTTTTTCTTCCGAAAGTGGGAACCTTTTCCGATTTAGTTAGAAAAAAATGATTCATTTTAAAAAGAAGTTTAGATGTGAAGAACTCCATTGACAAGGCATTTATCCGAAGAAAGGGTAGATAGTAAAGCTAATAGAGCGACTCACAACATGTGAAGAACTTTCTTGTTTTTCGAAGAGGTTTTTCTTGTGAAAGACTTATATCAATGTGGTAAATAAGGCCAAACGAAGAAACAACATAGAGCATTATAAGACCTAAAACTCATTCAATGTTGAACTTTGCCTTCTCACTTATTGTATTTTAGTTTTTTTGTAGCCGAAAGTTAGGATTTCTAGATAAATTCTAAAAGTTATGATCAATTAATTTGCCTTCTTTTTTATGAAATGCTATAAATCTACCGATCTCTTTCAAATCGACTAAATTTCCCTAAAATGGCCTTCAATTGATATGGAATCAATCGTTAGCTACATAATCAAATGAAATATCTAGTCATAGGGTGAAAAATATGCTCGTGATGTGATTAACAATAGGAGTAGATTCAAATATCTATTACTTGAAAGATTTTTAGTTTGAAATCTTGAGGCTACGTGATCATCTAAAAACTCAAGAAGGTTCGAGTATATTTTTAATCCTACTAGCTAGAAAGGGATAATAAAGTTATGCGAGTGTTGACATATGTTGGCATCTCATGTTCGGTTGATTTTTTTCATTCATGTAGTTAGCTTCCCTCCCTTCTTTTTTCATGACCATATCTCGTCTCTATCTTAAGGAATTACACTCGAAGTCAATTAAAACATTTTCTTTTATCAAATTTTGTATGTCCTTTTTAATTACTTGAACTTATCCTTAATTTGTAGGGAGTTATTATGATGTTTTTAGGTTTTCTTCTTTGTTATAATGATTAGAACATTGTACTTGGTAGGATCTAAAACTTCTTTAGGTTGAGGTTTGCCTTTCTAGATAAGGTATTTGCACTTTCTGTTAGTTGAAGTTGGATTTTCCAAATAACGTCATTAGGCAATCTATCGATCATATGTTCGCTTTCTATTTTGCAATGTTTTTGACGGTTAGATCCCGAACCTTCTCTAGAATCTTGAAAAATTGGTGAAGTTGCTTTTACCATCAAACTTCAAAAATTCAAAATGGGGCCTTTAAAATCACAGAAAAAACAAAAAGGTTATTTGATAAGGAAAAAAGTAAGAGAAACAACCCAACGAGGTTTTGTCCAAAGATCAAGAGAAAAACCAATTTTTATTTTTGTTACTTGGTGACTCAACTAGAAACCCTTATAACCCGACTTGCTAATTTCAAGTTTCAGCTCATGTTTCATGAAGACTTTCTTTCAACACTAGTACAAGAAATAAAGGTATAGAATATTCATGAAATTTCTCAAAGCAAATACATGCGATTCAAGAAATGAAGAAAAAAACGAATTATTAGACTAACGAAAGAAAAAGAGGTAAGAAAGAAAAAAACCCTAAATTGGTACTATTCAAGAGAAACCAATTTCTAGTTTTGAGATTGTGACTCGACCTACCCTTTCCCGATGGTACAACTCCTAACAACTTGTCAAGATTAAAATTCCTCGACAAGTATTTATAGTATAAGGCCAAACTTGAGACAAAATTATAAACCAATCAAGTTTTAATAAATTTTAATATCAACACTCGAAATTAACATACGAAATTAATGGTAACACTTTTCTTTTTTATTCCTTAATCATTGTTACTCGCTTTTATGGAGCATTTGGATCATGGAATGGAAGAGAGAGAAAAGAAGTTGAAATGTGTAATAAATTAAGTAATATTGTATTTAACTTAAATCTATTAAGAAAATATTGCATTCAAATCTTTTAAAAAAAAAATCTAATTTTTTTTTATAAGCTAATTGATTCAATAGTATCCTACACTCGTCAATCAAATAAAAGCTGGTATCCGAACTTTAGTTTTTTCAAATTGTATTCAGCATGGTTTTTCACACGTAATGGTGATATAGTCAAATAAATAAAAGACATATAGTTTTGTTATGTAATATGTACAATGATATCATAACTTAAAGATGTGAAATGATAAATTAACTCATGTTAGTATGCTCTTCATCTCTACGAACACCACTTAACTTAACCATCTTGTACCAATCTTGTTTTTTTTTCTCCTCTTTTTCATTCTCAAATACTTCAACACCACTATCATTTCCAAGCAAGCATTTTCTCTCCATCAATATCCCTTATCGCACCTTTTTTCATGTTTCCTAAACCATCTAACTTTTTGTTTACTTTCATTCTAACTTTCACCTTCTCCTCCTCAATAAAACACCCTAAAAGCCCTCCTTTTTCAAGCTCTAATATTTCTTCCTTCTTCTTCATTATACTTGACAACTTAAAGAGCTTTTCCGAAAAGTTTTGTGTCTTTCTCTCTTGACGATTTACAATATATAGATATTAAGAGTATATCAAATCCTTACAACTTAGGACCTAATTGCAGCAGAAAATATATACAATCAAATAAAGATCCTAAAGCAGAAATCAAGGAATTTTCTACACATTCCTTACTTAGCATATTCTCCTAATTAATGATAATATGATAATAAGGAAGGAATAATAAATGAGAATAATTCTATTGACATCCCCCCTCAAATTGATGTGGATAAGTCCATAAGCATCAATTTGGTACTAAAAACTAATGTCGTTGGCATGTCATAGCTTTAGTAAAGACATTAGCTATTTAAAGATCGAGTAGTGACATGAGGAAGAGTGATAAGACGACAATCAAAAGCATCCAAAATGTGATGACAATCCACCTCTATGTGCTTGGTACGCTCATGATAAACTCGGATTAGTAGTGATCTAAATGGCACTAGGCACTAGTATTATCACCATGAAGCGAGTATGATCGGCTTGAGGAAATCCAAGTTCGAGAGAAGACCATGTAACCACACATCCTCATAATAAGCTGCAGTACATGGCTCTATATTCAGCCTCCGTGGAGGATTTAGAAACACACTCTTGCTTCTTACACTTCCAAGAAATCAAGGCATCTTCAAGAAAGATACACCAGTTAGTTATAGATTTCTTTGTATCCGGACATCCAGCCCAATCGACATCACTATATGCGACCAAGTGAAGAGAAAAACCTATAGGAAATAATAATCCGCGAGTAGGGGATCCAATTAAGTATTGAATAATGCACATACCCGCAACAAGATGAAGATGCCATAGTGATTACATAAATCTGCTAACTATATGGACATCATATAAGATAGCGAGCCTTGTAATAGTTATGTAGATAAGACTACTAACTAGTCGCCTATAAAGAAATGGATCGAGCGTAAGCTCGCCTTCATCTTTTTGGTACTTCACATTCACCTCTTTTGGTGTATCAACGAAGCATCATCTTTTAAATCAGCCTAAGTCAATAAGGTCTTGGACATATTTATGTTGATTTAAGAACAACCCATGTGTCCGAGAGTGAACCTCTAGTCCCAATAAATAAGTAAGATGTCCAAGATCTTTCATATGAAATGTATTATGTAACATGTGTTGGAGCTTAGTGATCATACCTTTGTTATCACTAGTGATGATTTTATCATCAACATAGACCAAGAGAAGAACCACTCCCATGGTTATCTTATGAAAGAAGAGAGACGAATCATATTGGCTTTGTGTGAAAGAGAAGTTCGGAAGGGTGCTGCAAAACTTCTTAAACTGGGCTCGAGGGGCTTGTTTTAGCCCATATAAGGATCGCCTTAGCTTGCACACTTCATGAGGAGCCGTTACTTGCATACCAACTTGGAAGTTTCAAGTAAATGTCTTCTTTGAGGTTTCCATGTAAGAAGGCATTTTTTACATCCATCCGAAGTAAGGGCCAAGACTTAGAAGATGCAATAGCAATAATAGTTCTTACTCGTGGTCATCTTGGCAACCGGAGCAAAGGTTTCATCATAATCGAGCCCATATTCTTGTTTATTTTCAAGAGCAACCAGTCGAACTTTGTATTTATCTAAAGAGCCATCGGACTTGAGTTTCACATTATAAACCCACTTACTCCCAATGGGTTTGACATTTGGAGGACAAGAGAATATCCCAAGTGTGGTTTTCCTCAAGTGCTTGAAGTTCGCTTTCATTGCTCGTTGCTAACACTCATGTTCCATAGCCTGTTTATAACAAGAGGGAATGGAAATAGAAAACAAAGTAGTAAACAAAGACACATGAGATGTAAATCCATACCGATCAAGAGGTTTATAAGTTCTAGAACTTCTTCGGATAGGAGCTGGATCATTAGCGATCGGTAGAATAGGATCGGATGCCATAGGAAGATCCGGAGGAACCATAGTGGGACTTATAGGAGAATCGGATGTAGGTGAAAAGCATTTTTGATAAACATGACCGGGCTTAAATCTTTGTATTAGTGTTGGAGACCGAAAAATATGGTAAAATAGATATAGAAGGAGATTTTGAAATCTGTTGTATGCTAAAAAAGATTAATTTTTTAAAAAATAACATTCCTAGAGACACGAGTACGATGAGTATGAGAATCATAGCAAATGAAACCTTTTTGGTGTTCAAGCATATCCTAAAAAAGTACACTTGATAGATTTGGACGAGTGAGTTTAGTTCTTTCCGTACAGGAAGATGAACAAAACATACACATCTAAAACGATGAAGATTTGAGTAATTCGGTGCATGCCCAAATAAACAAAAATAAGGTGAAACATTGTCCAAGGTTGGAGAAGGTAATTTGTTTATTAAATAAACAACGATAGACAAGGCTTCACATCAAAAATGAGGAGGAACAAAAGAATCGATTAAAAGAGTTCGAACAACATAAAAAAGGTGACGATTCTTCCTTTCAGCCACACTCGTTTTGTTGTGGAGTGAAAGGACAAGAACGTTATGATAAAATCCAATAACTTTGGAGGAAAGATTGAAATTCATTTGACATGTATTCACCATCGAATCCGATCATAAGATTTTGACTTTGGTAGAGAATTATGTATCAAGCAAGGTAAGAAACATTTTAAACACGGAGAAAACCTCACTTTTAGACCTAAGAAAATAAATCCAAGCAAAACGTGAGAAATCATCGATGAATGTGACAAAATATTTGTAATGCCGATGAGAAATCACCGGTGCAATACTCCGGACATCGGTATGAATGAGTTCAAAAGATTTGGTGGTACGGGTTGTATGCAAAGGAAAATGAAGAGTTTTGCTTTTACTAAGCTTGCAAAAAGCACAATCAACATTGACATCATCAACAAAAGTCAAATTGTTATTACCAAGTAAACCAGATTTAAGCAACACACGAAATACATGAGAATTAGGATGGCCTAAACGCTTATACCACACCCGATCATTACATTGAATAGGATTGCAAACAACAGAATTTAACAAATGATAGAAAGGAGATAAAAATTTTAAAAACAGTACATCCCACTTTAGGTCCATGTGCGATCGTCTTCGCTAACACTTGATCCCGCACAACACAACCGTAATTTGAGAATTGAACATTACAATTATTATCAACTAATTAACCAACCGATATAAGATTAGTGGATAGATTAGGAGACACAAAAATAGTATTTAACGAGGCCGAAATATCACCAACGTACCGTGATAGGTAAGGAATTACCATCGGCTATGTGAATATGAAGATTTCCTTTATATTTTTGGACATTGGTAAGAGGTAACAGTATTGGTCATATGGTTTGAAACACCGAATCAAAATACCAAGGTTTAGAAGCGTAATAGTTATTACCTAAAATCCCTAAAGCGAGAAAAGGTAGAAACTATCATTTGTCGAACCATTTCGGGAGTAATAGAGGACCGACCATGATTAGGAACATAAGTAGGGTTAGAGGACGTGGCAAGTAGAACCAAAAGCATTTAAGGAATCAACCGAGACGTCGTAGGCTCAACGATTTCTTTAGAGGTCGAATAGAGCAATCTTTGATGATATGTCCTACTTTCTTACAATAATTACGAATTGTTTAGTACAATTAGTGGCAATATGCCCAAATTCTCTACAACTATAGCTACTGGACATTAATCATGTCTCTACTTCCTTTAAATCTCCTTTGAGCAAGCATAGGCAACAAGAATTGGAGTAGAATTTTGAGCTTTTTGCTCCATGGTAGCTTGAGTAATAAGCCTTTGTTCTTCCCTTAAAAGTTCACCAAGACAAATTTCCAAACATGGAACTAGATCTCTATTTATTAAATTGGATCCGATTCCTTCAAAATCTCCCCTCAATTTCATCAAAAATTGATCTTGCTTGTTGGTCTCATGCACATTTTGGACAGCAGAGAGTCCTTCAAAAGATACACTTGCATACACAATATCGGTGTATTCGACCCGGAGATTCCGAAAGGAAGAGTAGAAATCTTAGATCGACATGTTGCCTCGAACAAGAGTGCCCAACTCAAGTTCTAACCGAAACCTTTGTGTTGTGTTGCTCCGGTTATAAACTTTCTTCAAGTAACCCTACATTTCTTTGGAAGTTTTATAAGGCTTGAGGTTGAGAGGAATGGATGGCTCGACACTTCCAAGAATCCAAGACATAATCCGAGCATCCTTCACCTCTCATTTCATATACATTTCCTTCTCATTCTCTCTATCGAGTGCAATATTCGTCCCATCAATATGCCCAATAATTCCTTTCCCTTGACAAAGATCTCGGAATTGAAATTCGTAGGTCGAATAATTCTTGCCATTAAATCGAACACAAAAATGCTCAAATCATTCAAAAGACATGATTCAAGTAAAAAAAAAAAAGATGGCTAAGATATCAAATTAGATAACCGAAATCGAACAAGCAAGATAAGAATAACTAAGAACAAGAATACTAGGATCATGAAACTAGGCAACAAGATGAAACAATGTCGAAACTTGGCTTTGATACCATGACAAATTAAAGAGCTTTTCTAAAAAGTTTTATGTCTTTCTCTCTTAACGATTTACAATAAATAGATATTAAGAGTACATCAAATCCCTACAACTTAGGACCTAATTACAGTAGAAAATATATACAATCAAATAAAGATCCTAAAGCAGAAATCAAAGAATTTTCTAAACATTCATTACTTAGCATATTCTCCTAATTAATGATAATATGGTAATAAGGAAGGAGTAATAAATGAGAATAATTCTATTGACAATACCTTCCAAATCGATTTATTAGCGAATTTCATTCTTTATTTCAAAAACTCGAATCAAATCTATTAACAACTAAGTCTTTAATAACAAACCTTTTATCTTTCACCTCCATTATGTTCTCAAAATCTCAATTAATATGTTCTAACCTCTTGAAACACTTTTTTATATAATAAAAATCTAGAGTATAATCAACAAAATTTATGAGCTTTTGATTAAAAGATTCAATTGATTTTTTTAAAATAATGGGTGCTACTTGATCAACGGATGAGGTAGCAATAGTTGTTGGTGGCATGTTGGAGGACATGGTTTTTGCGAGTTGAAAGAGGCGGGTTTTCCAAACAATTTTATGGTCGGAGTTGCAAAATGTCAATTCGAAAACCATCATCACTTCTAGCAAATTTTGAGAGAAGCAAACATAATTTTGAGTTGGGAGAAATGAAAATTGAATGACATATCTTTTAATGAGTTTGAAGTTTAGTGTTTGTTATGTTTTATTTATGATATGAAGTTTGCTTAAAAGAAGTTTGATAAAAATTTCAAGTGAGACTTCTTCATTGTAAATGTGGTTGCTATGATTCCATATTCATTTCATTGCTTAAAAGTTAGTTTGGATTTTTTGGTTATTTAACCATCGCATGTTTTCCACGTGTGCTCGGATGTTGGTCAATGAAATCACTCGATTCAATTACAAACAATAAAATGTATGATATTCAAATTGAAAAAATTATAATTCAAATACTAATCTTCGTTTGATCGATAGCACAAGATAATATCAAACCAATTAGTCTTTTTTTATATTATGATATATATGTTCTTACAATTTAAATTATTACGACAAAAGTTCTTTATTCTAATTATTGTTACTCAAGCTCAATTATTTGAAAATAAAAAACAATCATCTTTATATAGTTATATCTTACATCATAACAAATGTATTTTCGTTGTTTGGTTTAATTTTTGCAACGCTCCTAGTATATTTTTCTAGCAAAAATCTTGTATCGTTACTAATTTGTTAATTGGTTAATAATTTTATTTGTTAAATGTTAATTTGTTAATATTGGTTCTATAATGATATCAAAAAATATTTTTAAGGCGATTTATTTGTTATCATATGAGTTTAATAAAGGACTACGAACAATTAAGATTAAGAGAAGACTTTTTTAGCTCTTAAAATTTAAAAATCAACTTTTAGTCCCTATTTTCTTTAACAATATTTATTCATAATTGAAAACTTGTTGCACAAATTTAGACTGAAAATATAATTTATGTTGACATTATTTTTGATTCGATGGTGTGATAAGTAAGTTCATTATTTTATTTTTTATTTAACGGCTAAAAAATACCTAATTAAATTCAATTAGAGAGAGAGTTAGTGAAATAACTAACTTGAGAATTCTTCATTAAAATTAAAAAAAATAAAATAAAAGTGAGGTTATTCTTCATTAAAATTTTAAAAAATAGAAGCAAGGTTATTTGTGTTTCAGTATCTTGGGTCCAATTCCTACTTAGTTATATAAGAACAAATTATTATCACTATTAATTTATTATTACCGTTTCCGTGTCCGTTTCTGGTTCTGATTCTGCAAATTAAATACGTTCATCCATCAAATCTTCACATCTTCTTCTTTTAGTCTCGATCGATCTTCACGTCGCTTCTCTTTCCAAATCTTTATACTTTATTCCCACCCAATTTAGGCTTTTCTTTTAATCTCTCTGTTTCTATCTAATTTCTGCAAAAATCAAACCAGATCAAGATGGCTGTATACGTTCCTCTTTGCTACGGGTTCAATCCTACTGATTCTGAACTTGCTTGCCATTATCTTTCCTACAAAGTCATGGGCTTTCCTCTTTCTTGTCCTCACATTGTTCAAGATTATGATTTGTACGGTCAGGAGGAGCCCTGGCAAGTTTGGGACAAATTTGGAGGATCGAATAATGACGAAGACGACGACGGGGCTGGTCCATCCACTCTGGATCTTTTCTTTTTCACCACGTTGAAAAAGATAAACCCTAAAAGCCGATCCTCCAATTTTGAACGTGCTGTTTGCTCCGATGGTGGCAGTTGGCATGGTCACCACCTTCGCACTTTCCATTCTAATGGAATTACTTGGAATCGCAGGAGATATTGCTACAAGAATCCTAACATAGGTACTGCTGATGCTTCCTGGATTATGATGGAGTATTCCCTTGATGATTCGAAGAAAAAAAGAACAAGAAAAACTGCGGTAGAAAGAGGAAATCTGTCCAATCTAACCCTCAGACTAAACCAGTTAAACGTCAGTTGAAGAAATTAAAATCGGAATCAAGGACAGAAGAGACTGTTCAAGTCACAGCACCCCCAACTCATGTTCCTGTCCATGTGCCTTTGTCTGAAAATCTGCTCTATGCCCTCGATGATTCATGTTTCAATGAAAAACAGAAGATTGCAATCGATTCTCTTGCTTCTCTTATGAAAGCTATGGAGGCTATTAAAACTTCAAATACTGATGATTTATTTGCCTTCTTTCTTTTCTCGTTTTGCTGTATTTCTTTTTGTGTTTCTCTGCTCCTTTCTTTCTTTTTCCATTTTATTGTAGGATGAAGGATTCTACTTGTGTTGGAAAAGCTCGGGCATCAACGTTACCTAAGTATCATAACGAGGCATCAACTTGTGGTGCACACTCACATACTTGGTACTATCAGTCTCTCTTTTCCCTTCAATGCCTTTATATTATTTCCTTTACTTATGATTCGAACATTAGAGCCTCTGATGCACTTACAGATCGTATAAGTCAGGTGAAACATGAAAAACATTGGAATTGAATCCAAATAAGCAATGAAAGAATTACTCATCCAAACACTGAAACTGAAGAGATTGTGTATATTGGGTAAATATCTATTTGTGCATTCAATGTTTATGAATTTAGAACTTTAGTTAGCGTTATGGTTAATTAATTTGCAATGTAATTGGATTTTGTTTTAGACATACATTATGTATGTGTCTGTATGTTGACATAAATGGATAATCTGATAATTTAGTGGAATAAGATGGAAAGGTTGGAACTGTTTTTGGTCAGGTTTGCAATGTTGACATGTCTGCAAAATTACTTTTTTTTTTTTTTTTTTTTTTCCGCTTTAGAGTTTGGCTTTTCTAAAACAATTGCAGAATTATTTACATACATAACATGCAATTCCTAAGCTGTATCAGAACATTATTTTGAGTTGGCCATGAATATCTACCACATTTTACGTTTCTTTTGGTTTATTTAAATTGGGTGCGCACACACACACATTTTAATGCATGTATAGCCAAGTATTATTGGTCAAAAGCTTTTTATAAGATAAATCACTTACAACCTGCCAATTGTCAAAACTTACTAACGTTGCATCATGTCTTTCCTTTCCTTTTCTTTATTTTTATTGTCCTGAGGAACTCTGCTTCTATGGTATTCTCTGGGTGCCTACTCTGGCCTTCAATCTAAGCACAATGTGAGTTCAGAATTTAATATTAAAATTTCCTGTAGCACGGGAGCGCTCAAATGTGTCAGCTTTGCCAATCCCATGGGGCCACCAAACTGATCTGAGTTCTTGCAGAAACTGAGGTATTATTCTTCATATCCTTTATGATCTTATCGTTGAAGGGATGCTTATCGTTATCAACTGTGCCCAGCTCGATATTATCATTCACACTCTTCCCTTTCTTCCCCTCAATAATTTTTTCATTGCTTTCTTTATTTTGGTCACTGATATGATGGTTATATGATGATGATAGATTTGCCTCTATCAGGTTCCCACTTTGTCGGACGCCCATAAGGGATGCCTTTCTTCGACCTAGTGTCTATACTTTATTTTATCGGTACCTTAACATGCATATAAATATCAAATAGGAATTTAAACTATTGAAAGATAATTGACTTGTTTAAGTTAATGGTTGTTAATTGGTGACTGAATTCCTTGATTCATATTTTTCATGTATGCTCTTGGAAGGACGTAGAGAAGAAAAGGGAATGAGTATACTATGTGAATTTTGTTCAATTGTATCAAGTTGCCAAATAATGTGCTTAGAACAACTTGATTGAGTTTAATCCTTTTGCTGTACAAGTTTCCATTATTGGTCAATGCAAATGGATGATGTCTGGATGAGCTCAAGCTCAATCTGCTGTTCGTATTTCTATTTAATTATTTTTTTTTCTATTAGTGAAGATTATATCAATCTATCAGTTCTTTTGCTTCTTGGTTTTTAAAGTGTGATACTGGTGATGATGGGTCTTTTGTTGATTGTGAGCAGCGACATTATGTTCAGGGAAGACGTAGGCATCAATGCTCTTCTTTCTGTTCTTTCTGGTTTCTTATATGATGGCAGTGCTACATCTTCTTTCTTGCTGCAAACAACCAATTTTCATGGTGGTAATTTCGATTTTAAAGATTGCAACGTCATTGTGCCTTACCTGCAGGTATAGCTAGATTCGTGGCTGTAGGCATTGTTCTAGTAGTTTGCATTTGTCAAATTCGTACTGGGACTTTGTATTAATGAATATATCTGTGGTTAGTTTGATGTGAATTTTAGAAACTGGAAAACAAAAGTTTGCAGTTTTGAGGGTGTAATTGTATTGGATGTTTTCTTTTATTCATGTTGCAATCATTATTAGTTTGTAACTGTTAGAATTTTGATGATTTGGAAAAGCATAAAACCCTGATAATTTAGTTGAATAGCAGCATGGAATGGTTGCATTTTCTGTTGAGTTTTTTTTTTTTTTGACAAGTTTGCAGTGTCCATAATGGAATGTGAACTATGAGTGTGATTTTCTTTATTGTGGTAACTTCCAGAGATAATTGATAGGATCATCTACATGCTCATGTGATTTACCGACCGCTCCTATCTTTTGTTTTTGAAATGCCCTCTGTTTTAACTAACCGTAAATCTCAACTCCCTTTTTATTTTTTAGGCCTACTTTAAACGTATTGCCTGACTCGGACCGGACACTAAGTCCACAATTCTACTCGTTGTTACCAGGGAGTATAGTTTGTGGAAAATGTTCATGCTGCTATTTAGAAATCATGCAGTTTGCTTTGGATTCTTAGAAATAGAGAACAAAATTATGTATTGTTGCCATCTTTTTTTCTTTTTATCAACTTTGTCATGTCCTTTTCAAAGAATTGATAACTTATCCTCAAATTGGAGGGAGCTATAATGATTTTTCAGGTTAACTTTATGCTGCAACAATGATTTAAAGGAGTTAAAAGCAGAGCAAGTCTACTATTAATTAACATGCGGTCATGCATAGATGTAATTAATTCATGTTGTGTCTTTCTTGTTAATTATGAGATTTTTCATGTGTTTGCAGATCTGTTCCCTTTGTTTCTTTCCTTCACTTTTTGTTTTTCCTTCCCTGTGTTCACTGAAAACGAAAGGCTGATGCCCTGTTTGTAACCTGCAATTGAATGATTTGTTCATTAACAGAATGAGAGTTTGAGAATTAAAATAAAAACTGCCAGTAGCGTGGGAAGCACTCATACTTGCTAGCTTCGCCAATTCCATGAGACTACAAAGGGGACCTGAGTTCTTGCAGCAACTGGAGTTAAGGTCCTGAATATGCTTTATGATTTTATCATTAAAGGGATGCCTATCAACTGTCCTGGAGTTGGTATTATCAATCACACTTTTCCCCTCAATAATTTTTTGATTCCCCCCCCCCCTTCATTATGGTCATTAATATGGTTACATGATGGTGATATATTGCCTTCTATCAAGTTCCAACCTTGTTGGAGATCGTCGAACGATCTTCTTATTTTATCTATTCTTCATTTTAATCTATTGAGAATGTCAAAGATTTAATTTGATTTAGCTTGATTTGATTTAGTTTCTTATTTTCTGCCTATAATTAAGAGCTATAAATATAGATTTGGTCAATGATCTAAATTAGGGAAATTAGAATGTAATTAGTTAATTTTCTATTATTGTATAGTCTCTTCTATAAAAGACATTGAATATCACAATTGTATGTAATAGAATGTATTTCTATCAATTCTACATGGTATCAGAGCCAGGTCTGATTCTCTAGCCGACCTTCAAACTTTATTTGCTGCCTACAGCTTTTTAAAAACAAACCCTAATCTTTATCATGTCTGAAATCACATCTGATCTCGCACCTAGTGCACAAGCATCAACCACTACCATCATTAAACCTAGGACATCGCACTTGGAAAACCATCATGTCTAGATCACCACAATCAGGCTAAATGGTTAAAATTTCTTACCTTGATCTCAATCTGTGCGCATGTATATACGGGGTTGAGGAAAGATGGGCTATTTAACAGGTGATGTAGAGGAGCCAGCGAAGGGGGATTCCTTGTATGCAACCTGGGATGCTAAAAATTTCATGGTTATGACATGGCTCGTGAACTCAATGGAGGAAGAGATCAGCTCCAATTATGTGTGCTATTTGACACCCAAGGAACTTTGGGAGAATGTCAATCAGATGTACTCTGATTTAGGTAATCAATCCCAAATTTTTGAACTAACCTTGAAATTTAGTGACATTAGATAGGGTGATGATAATGTTACCTAGTACTTCAATCAACTGAGCGTTTATGGCAAGATTTAGACTTGTTCAATGACTATGAATGGAAGTCTATTGATGACTGCAACCACTTCAAGAAAGTGGTGGAAAATAACCCGATTTATATGTTCTTGGCTGGACTTCATGTTGAATTTGGTAAAGCGAGAGGACGTATCATTGGGAAACAGCCATTGCTATCTCTCAGTGAAGTTTTTTCAGAAGTTAGAAGGGAGGAAAATCGAAGGAATGTTTTGCTGGGGAAGAAAGAGCCATGGCCTCTCTGGTCTTTGTTTAGCTTCATATGCAGTGGAATCCTTATTCCCATCCACAAAATGCTCCACGCGGCTATATCATGAAAGTTTATGCAAGAATGATGAAATGGCTTCTCTCCTGTTCTTCTCACACTTCTGGTGGCAATTTTAGTACAGCTTTCAACATTTTTCAATTGCAGACAAATGATTGAGAAACAACAAAAGCATCTTTGAACATACACATGCACACACACATTGTATGCAGATTTAATTGTCGATTCACATTTCTGTTGATCTTTATATTGCATTTTGTCTAGGAGGGTGATTTACGTGTGAAAATTGCTCAGTGTTACTTATCTTTGAATGATCGAGTAAAAGTGATTATGTTCTTCTACAAACGTAGCATCACCTCACAAGAATTCCAGATTTTCTTTTTATTGGAATTGTATTTCAGCATACCTTTTCTATCTCACCCCTTTCCCCTTTCTTTCTTTTTCTTTTCCCTAAGATTTTCTGAGGTTGACAAAGCTTTGTTGTTTCAGTATGCTTTTCTCTTCTACTTCAACTAGGACTTTCGGTGTTGAACTAGGTTGTGTGAACTGATTCAGAAAGATCTGATTTCAATATTGCTGCTTGATTTATGTGTGTGTTGTTTCATATGTTCAGGATTAAATGTGTACAGGGGGAAGAGTTTTTCCTTTCTAGTTGTGCAGTGGCCAAGTTCCCTGTGAATTATAAATCTACCACATAAATAAATGTATAAAAAAGTCTGAAAGTACAAGATTCACTTAGAATGACTGAATTAATTGTCAGAATCAGCTGGTGAAGAAAGATGGGGATATCATCTTCCTTGGAACAGTTTGTTAAAAAAATTCACATATCGGATTGACGAACCTTTTAAAATGATTCACAGTTTATGTGGTTACTTTGACTCAAAAGGAACGATCTATAAAGAATTTTTATCTTGGATCCCACTGTTGGAAACTGAGTCATGCTTGATAGAAGATTCAAAGGCTCTGAAAATGCCATGAGATTTTCAAAATGGTTGTAGTAGTTACGGAGGAAGATGCTGTATAAAAGGATGATGATTTATTTGATGTTATGGATGACTGGTTACGGAGGCACTGTTTTGTTTTTATATGTCAGTCCAGTCTTATTACTCTTCCCTTGTGCATTCTTTCCCTGAAAATTCTGCAACTTCATTGTTTCGGAAACATTTTTGACTCTAAACTCGAGGAGGGTCGGGAAGAACATGTGACAGATATGTTTATGCTCAGTTCATGTTGAGGGATAACTTGGGAGTTGACAAAAAAGAAGCGATTTTATACATGAAATCACTCTGCCTTATGTAACATTCCACGCACTCTATAGGAGATGTTATTTAATGAGTCAAAGTTACAATATATGTGAATTACAGATTCTATTTTTATTTTTACATACCATTTTAGCATTGTTTATCAAATGCTTAGACCATAAATAGGGAATGTTGTGTTTGTGTTTGCTTTTTCCTTCTTATCGTGTTGAGGGGAGCAGCTAAGTAACCATTTACTGATGGATACCTGGAACTAGAATGAGATCTAGCAGAGCAAGAAAGTTGCTTCAAAAGAAGGAAGAACAGAGAGCTGCTGATAAAGCTGCTGGTATTTATTTGCATAGTGATTATTCAGATGATGGTATAGTGCAACTGATTTTTGTATGAGTTACCTAAGACTTATTCACATGACTGGCAAGTTCTTGTCATTTGGGCATGATGACCTGATATATATTTTTCAGTTGTAATTTTTATTTCTTAAATTTATTTCTTCCTTTTCTGTTTATAAATGCTAACTTCAGAACGTGGGTTGGGTGGCTGTAATTGGTAATCTTTATATAAATTCATTTTCTTGGCATCCATATTTAGAAGTCTGTACCATTTTTTTTTTTTGTTTGTTTGGAATGAGCTGTCTCGACTTGTGAGTAAAATTTTCTCAGCAGAAGATTTGTTTGGAGGCAGTGAGACTATAGTAATTCATCTCCTACAGATAAGGTGACTCATGATGATAAGGGTGTTTTTGCAGTATATCCGAATGATTCTGAAGCCCGAAAGCACTTGCTCAAACACTGTTTAGTGGATAAGTTCGAAAAAGAAAACGATTGTTTCATGGATCGAGTAGGTTGGGAGAGAATTCTTCTATGCATAGAAGTGACGTTTTGGTCTGAATTGATGCTCTTTTTTATGCTTTCAAGGTTCTAGGATGGTGGATGCTCCCTTTTGTTTTTGTTGGTGTCTGTAACCATGATTGAAGTTCAGTAAACTGTAAACAGTAGTTTGTGATGGTTCCATGGCACTCAAATCATTTTAGAATGGCGGGATTGTTCGTTTGTCGTAAACCATTGCTTTGTCTTTGGATTTTATTTATTTTTGGGTCTGGTTGGACTGCAATTACATCATCCTTGGAGTTATAATCTTTTTGTCATTTGCTATTTGTAACTTGCGGTTCTCAGAGGTGGATAATGATTCTGAATTCATGTTGAAGTCTAGATGGCAGCAATCCTAAATCAAACGCATGCAATAGGTTCCATAGCTGGTTTCTCTATGTTTGATAGGTTTATTGAAGGCATCAGTGTGGTTGAGTGAGGGTGGACAGAAACAGCATTACTAAAATCACAAATGACATGAAAATCAAAGCAAAGGTGTGGATCTTTGTGAAAGAGTAGAAACAAAATATTTTAAATTTTGGAAGATAGGGGGTGTTAGTAAACTTGTTGTTTTTGTCAAGCTTGGGGTCAATGGGATTACTTGGTGGAGAAAACCTGTTCAATTGGTTAGATTATCTTAGCTTGAGCATAGGCCAAAGGAGGCCGACCATCAGAAGTTAAAGTAAGGAAATTTATTGTCTACTTTCAGATTCTATTTTTATTTTTACATAGCATTTTAGCATTGTTTATCAAATACTTAGACCATAAATAGGGAATGTTGTGTTTGTATTTGCTTTTTCCTTCTTATCGTGTTGAGGGGAGCTAAGTAACCATTTACTGATGGATACCTGGAACTAGAATGAGAGCTAGCAGAGCAAGAAAGTTGCTTCAAAAGAAGGAAGAACAGAGAGTTGTTGATAAAGCTTCTGGTATTTATTTGCATAGTGATTATTCAGATGATGAATCTCTGGTAAAGTGCAACTGATTTTAGTATGAGTTACCTAAGACTTATTCAAGTTACTGGCAAATTCTTGTCACTTGGGCCTGATGACCTGATATATATTTTTCAGTCGTAATTTTTATTTCTTAAATTTATTCCTTCCTTTTCTGTCTATAAATGCTAAGTTCATAACGTAGGTTGGGTGGCTGTAATTTGTAATCTTTGTATAAATTCATTTTCTTGGCATCCATATTTAGAAGTCTGTACCTTTTTTTTTTTTTTTTTTGGAATGAGGTGTCTTTACTTGTGAGTAAAATTTTCTCATCAGAAGGCTTGTTTGGAGGCAGTGAGAATATAGTAATTCATCTCCTACAGATAAGGTGACTCATGATGATAAGGGTGTTTTGGCATTATATCCAAATGATTCTGAAGCCAGAAAGCACTTGCTCAAACACTGTTTAGTGGATAAGTTCGAAAAAAAAAAAAAAGGATTGTTTAGTTGATTGAGTAGGTTGGGAGAGAATTCTGCTATACATAGAAGTGATGTTTTGGTCTGAATTGGTGCTCTTTTTTATGCTTTCAAGGTTCTAGGATGGTGGATGCTCCTTTTTTGTTTTTATTGGTGTCTGTAAGCATGATTGAAGTTCAGTAAATTGTAAACAGTAGTTAGTGATGGTTCCATGGCATTCAAATCATTTTAGAATGGCGGGATTGTTCGTTTGTCTGAAACCATTGCTTTGTGTTTGGATTTTTTTATTTTTATTTTTGTGTCTGTTTGGACTGCAATTACATCATCCTTGGAATTATAATCTTTTTGTCATTTGCCATTTGTAGCTTGTGGTTCTCAGAGGTGGATAATGATTCTGAATTCATGTTGAAGTCTAGATGGCAACAATCCTAAATCAAAAGCATGTAATAGGTTCCATAGCTGGTTTCTCTATGTTTGATAGGTTTATTGAAGGCATCAGTGAGGTTGAGTGAGGGTGGGCAGAAACAGCATTACTAAAATCACAAATGACATGAAAATCAAAGCAAAGGTTTGGATCTTTGTGAAAGAGTAGAAACAAAATATTTTCAATTTCGGAAGATAGGGGGTGTTAGTAAACTTGTTGTTTTTGTCAAGCTTGGGGTCAGTGGGATAACTAGGTGGAGAAAACCTGTTCAATTGGTTAGATTATCTTAGCTTGAGCGTAGGCCAAATGAGGTCGAGCATCAGAAGTTAAAGTACAGAAATTTATTTTCTATTTTTATTTTTACATAGCATTTTAGCATTGTTTATCAAATACTTAGACCATAAAGAGGGAATGTTGTGTTTGTATTTGCTTTTTCCTTCTTATCTTGTTGAGGGGAGCAGCTAAGTAACCATTTACTGATGGATACCTGGAACTAGAATGAGAGCTAGCAGAGCAAGAAAGTTGCTTCAAAAGAAGGAAGAACAGAGAGCTGCTGACAAAGCTGCTGGTATTTATTTGCATAGTGATTATTCAGATGATGAATCTCTGGTAAAGTGCAACTGATTTTAGTATGAGTTACCTGAGACTTATTCAAGTTACTAGCAAGTTCTTGTCACTTGGGCCTGATGACCTGATATATATTTTTCTTTCGGTGGTTACAGCAAGAAATCGGAGTTTCTCACCTGCATAATTTCTTAAAGGATGAAGCGCATCACAATCTTATTATAGATGTTTGTATTTTTTCCATCATTTATTTTGATTCATCTATGCTTTATTTTTATTTATTTGCTTGAAATTTATTTAATATGCACTTGACAGTTTGTTTTAGAATCATTGTTAGGGAATTCCACTCTTGTTGAATAAATTCACCGGTACATTCTTTAACCTTCTGATAGTTAGCTCTATTTTGGTTTGTTTCATAGTTGTGCAAGGCATTGCAATCGTTGCAAAGATAATCTGAAGCTCTAGAGATTATAAATCTCACCCAGAGATTGGTTTCTGATAAATTGCCTGGTGATAAGGAAGAGGAAGTTCAGTCTCTTTTAGCTCGTAAGTTCTAGGCCTAGAAGACAACCCCCACCCTCCCTGTGGCCCCACACCCCTATACTTCTCTTCCTAGTTTTCTATTTCTTTTTTCCCCTCTTCCTCTGTTTATTTTCTTAGATGCCATCATGAAAACTATTCAAGTCTGCTTTTTCCATCAAACAATAAAATTCTGCAGCCTTTTGGGGTTTAACTGAAGCTGAGTATTTTGTTTTTGTTTCCTCAGAAATATCTTTTAACGCCACATATCCTAAACATGATTTTGACTATGTAAGATCCGCAATTCAAAAGCAGCCGCACAGCATTTCTGGCTAGAACTGTTATGACAAAATAGCCTCAAGGTGACTGTTATTTTATATCTTAATGTTAATTTTCACTACTTTGCCTACCAGTTTCTGGTTTCATATGGAACATGAAACAGGATGCTGGCAAATTTGTGGAATCTGGTATAATGAAGTGGTGACATGCAAATAGATGTACCCATTCTTGATAATTTTCTCAAATTGCTGCAAAATTCAAACAATCCTATTTACCATTTTCTTAATTTCATACACAACATGAACAGCACACTGCCAAATTTGTGGAAACTGGTATAGTAAAGAGGTGATGTACAAATAGATGCACTTATTCTTGATTGTTTTCTCAAATTGCTCTCAAATTCTCACAATCCTATAAAGTTATTGACTATATAATTTAGTTTATCAAATTGCACATGCCATTGTCATATGCATTGATTGAAACTTACATCTTGAATCTTCCTAAGCTTTTGTTTACTATAGTCTCTTTGGCATAGTATCTGTGTATTCTGACTGATGTTTACTTGTCATCTAAAAAAAAAAAGGTTTGTTCGAGTTTCATTCCTTTTTGTTTCCTTCTCTTTGCTTGTGGATCTTGGTGACCTTAACATAAACATGGTATTCATGCATCCTGAAAACACGAAACCCGAAGCAGGAGAATGTTCATTTATATGACCACTTTCACTTTTGTTTTTCATCTTTTTGTTCATTTGTGGATTTCTCATGATATCATAGATTGGGAAAGAGCTATTCAAGGCATGCCAAATTTCTACGTTATATGCGAAGCAAACACAAAAACTGTGTTCCGCCTATTGTCATTTCTGCTCATTAGTTTACAATGCTCGGCCATCATCAAGATGCTGCAAGAGAATACCTAGAAGCTTATAAACTGATGCCATAATGTCCTCTAATTAATCTGTGTGTGGGTGAGGTTTTCTTCGACTTTTCTTCAACAATTTATTTGTACTTGTAGTCTTGTTAAATTATACAGTAAGAGATGATATGTTATGCTTATTTTCTATCTATTTTGTTTTCTTCTCCAGGAACTGCCCCTTGGATTTAGACTTCAAAATAAGCACCAATGTCTTGCACAAGGCTTAGCCTTCCTCTATAATAATTTACAGCAGACAGAGAATAGCGTGGTTTGGTTCATTGTCATATGTACATGATTTTAGTTTATGTGATCAAAATTTCTCCATGTCAATAAAAAAATTGGTATTGTAGAGTCCATTGGTGAAATCGAGGTCAAAGAATGTTGAGGTTGCTGGCATAACTTTATACCAATTATTTTTATTGAAGCATCTATATTGCTGTATATTGGGGAAGGAAAACAAAACTGGACCTAACTCAACATTTAGCTTTCCATATGCATCCACATGTTCTTGTAAGCACAACAAATTGGAGTTCCTTTAATATGATCTTGTGTGATTATTAGTGTGTCCATGCAATTAAAGATAATCAGTTCAATCAAATAATGGTTTATTTTTTCAAAGTTGCTTTAATTGGGTTAGTTTCCAATTAAAATCATTGACAACCAAAATGCAAAAGTTGCAGTCAATCCTGATGCTATTTCTAATTGGCCAACTACCATCAATTCCTACCTGCCCAGAGCTGAGCTATTGTAGAGCTTCCATTATTTTATGCATATATGATCTGCTACTGTGTTCTAGATTTTGTTGAGCTCTATTACCTTGCATGCATTTCAGTGATCTTTTGACTATGTATAAAAAATCAGTAACGTTTGTTGGTACATGAATATGACACATGCCCTTGTGTTTTGGGTGGTTAGGGATTGTATGGAACTGAATAGTTAGCAAAACTTTTATTATTTTCTGTCCCTATTAAAGCTACCCTCTGGATCATAGGCAGTTCCATGTTGACCCCTAACTGCTCAATTCATTCAGTAGAACATACATTGTCTTTCAACTATCAGCCTACTGAGAGATTATTTGGGCAAATGTGTCAAGTTGTTCTTTTCATCTGCTATCATATACTCAGCACTTTTTCTCAGCGTCTATGATTTTTTTGAAGTTTCTGTATTTTCTAATGTGGCTGCTAATTCCTTGTATGACAAATGCTTGAATTTTTGAAAGCAACATATGGTCAATCTTGTTCCCTCTTTGTGGGTTTTTGTTTGTAAAATGGTACCAAATTAATACTATTGCCCGTGCCTATCATCATGTTGGACTAGTGTCTTTAGCAGCTTCACATTATGAAAAGGTGCTTGCAACCTGAGAGAAGGATTACCCCATTCCGAAACTTCTGAATGAGAATTCAGAAATGGAAAATATGAAACTAGGTTATTGTGATCGGTGCAGAGAAGCAGCCTATAATTTGCATTTAATATACAAAAACAGTGGAGCATTTGGTCTTGCTAGGCAGGTCTTGAAAGATCACTGCACATTCTTACTAAATATCTTTGATGCTAAAATATAGCTCTGTAGTCGAGCATTGGATTGGTAAATTTATGTAGATATTAGATTTGCTTAGATAAATTTACCATTTACCTTATTTCAATTTGTGCCCTTGTTTTTCATGAACTTCATATATTTTTTAACCTTTTTCTTTGGGGAAGGAGATTCTTTGAGGTGCCTTGTTCAATTTTAACTGTATTGGGAGTTTTCCAAAGTGATAGAAACTTTACTATCATTTGTCTTTATTTAGGATGATTTAGAAGGCTACAAGAATGATTTTATTGTTACTAATTTCACCTTCTATCTTTTGGACGCATATTGTCAAAAAGGATTATGGATTTACAGGCTACAGGTAAGCTAAAACTTATATACACATTACAAGAATTCATATAATTTACTAATAATTACGAATTTTCAATCCTAACATTTGCATTCCTCACCAAATGCAGAATGGTGTGTAATGAGGTTAGGAACATCGCTTATTCAGTCAATGGGAAATCTGTATCTGATGTTCATCATGTGACAATCTATTGGATTAATGCTGAGGTATCTTTCTTCCTTTATAATAGTTTTCATGTACGTATGTCATACATATGTCCTTTGCATGGTTTATAGTTGATTGCATACTTGAGCTGTTTAGCCATTTGTTTATGGTGAGCATTGGCTGTCCAATTTCTTCAATCATGGTGCCTTTGAGCTTTTCTGTGGCTGCTTTCTAGCTCATAAGTTTAGGTTCATAACATGATATATTGACAGTAAAGGTTCATGGGAAAGATTGACTGATAAATTCGCATATAGCTTCTATGCATTAACCAGGAGTAGTAGTAGTGGAAGGTGTAGAAGGTTTCCAAGAGAGGGAGGACGTTCTTGAGCATAATAGCTGTGCATATGCATTTGTAAGGTGCTCTTCTTATTTCATATTTTTTTTTATCTGAAACGGGGAACCTTCTCTGATTTAGTTAGGAAAAAATTATTTATTTTAAAAGAAAGTCTAGATGTGAAGAGCTCCATTGACAGGGATTTGTCTGATGAAAGAGTAGATATAAGGCTAATAGAGTGGCTCACAACATGGAAGATTTCTCTATTTCTTCTTCTTAATTCATCCATTTCTTTCTCGTTTTTCAGAAGAGGTTTTTCTTGTGAAGGTCCTATATCAATGTGGTGAATGAGGCCAAATGAAGAAACAACGTAGAAAATTATAAGGCCTAAAACTCGTTCACGGCTGAAGTTTGCCTTTTCACTTAAGGTATTTTAGTTTTTGGTGAGCTGAAAGTTGGGATTTCTAGAAAAATTCTAAAAGTCGTGATCAGTTAATTTGCCTTCTTTTTGTAGAATGCTACACATCTGCTGATTTCTTTCAAATCGATTATGTTTCCTTAAAATGGCCTTCAATTGATATGGAATAAATTGTTAGCTGCTGAATCGAATGAAATATCTAGTCATAGGGTGAAAAATATACTGCGATGTGATTAACAATAGGAGCAGATTGAAATATCTATTACCTGAAAGATTTTCAGTTTGAAATCCTGAGGCTATGTGATAATCTAAAAACTCTAGAAGGTTCAGTATATTCTGGCTTTGCTTGCTAACTTTTATCTCCTGTTAATTGTGTTGTTTTGAATCCTACCAGCTAGACAGGGACAATAAAGTTATGCAGTGTTGACATAAGTTGGCATCTCATGTTCAGTTGATTTTTCTTATTCATGTTTTTAGCTTCCCTCCCTTTTTTCATGACCATAACTGTCTCTATCTTAAGGAAGAATTGCACTTTGAAGTAAAAAAAAACATTTTCTTTTATTAAATTTTGTAGGGAGCTATTATGATGCTTCGAGGTTTTCTTCTGTGTTACAATGAGTGGAACATTATACTTCGTAGGATCTAAAACTCCTTTAGGCTGAGGTCTGCCTTTCTAGATAACGTATTTGCACTTTTTGTTGGCTCAAGTTGGATTTTCGAAAGAACGTCATTAGGCAATCTACTGATCATTTCTTCACTCTCTATTTTGCAATGTTTTTGACAATTAGATCCTGAACCTTCTCTAGAATTTGCAAAATTGGTGAAGTTGTTTCTGCCATCAGACTTCAAAAATTCAAAACGGTGCCTCAGAAATCACATAAAAAAAGGTATTTGATTAGGAAAAAAGTAAGAGAAACTCCTAGACGAGGTTTAGTCCAAAGATTAAGAAAAAACCAATTTTTGTTTTTGTGACTTGATGACTCGGCCAGAAACCCTTGAAACCCAGCTTGTGAATTTCAAATTTCAGCTCATGTTTCTTGAAATTTCTCGTCCTCTTCATCCTCAAATACTTCAACATCACTATCATTTCCACCAAGATTTTCTCTCCATCAACATACCTTATCTCACCTTCTCCTCCTCCATAAGATACCCCAAAAAGCCCTCATCTTTCGAGCTCCACTATTTCTTCCTTCATCTTCATTATACCCTCCAAACCAGACCTCTCTGCAATTTCATTCTTCGTTTCAAGAAACTGGATCAGATCAATTAACAACTAAATCCTCAATAACAAACCTTTTATCCTCCCCCTTCATTATGTTATCAAAATCTCAACTAATATTTTCTAGGTTCTCAGAACACACTTCTACAGAATCAAAATCCAAAATAGAATCAACAAAATTTATGAGCTTTTGATTAAAAGAGTCAATTAGTTTCTAATAAATACTGGGTGCTATTTGATCTGCAGATGAGGTGGCAGTAGTGGTTGGTAGCGTGGTGGAGGACATGACAACAACCGTTGGGGAGCAGAAACATGAGAGGTAGTGATAAAGTTTTAATTTTGTTCTTTTAAGAGTGAGTTTTTTTTTTTTTTTTTTTTTTTGGGAGTTGGAACAGGCTGGTTTTCCAATCGATTCTATGGCTAGAGTTGCAAAATGTCAATTTGAAAACCGTCATCACTTCCAGCAAATTTTGAGAGAAGCAAGCATAATTTTGAGTTGGGAGAAATGAAAATTGAATGACATATCTTTTAATGAGTTTGAAGTCTAGTGTTTGTTATGTTTCATTTATGATATTAAGTTTGCTTAAAAGATGTTTGATAAATTTCCTAGCGAGACTTCTTCATTGTAAATGTGGTTACTATGATTCCATCTTCATTTGACTGCTTAAAAGTTAGTTTGGATTTTTTGGTTATTTAACCATCACGTGTTTGTCATGGGTGCTCGGATGTTGGTAAATGAAATTGCTCGATTCGATTACAAACCATCAAAATGTATGATACTCAAATGGAAAAAAATTCAAATTCAGATATTAGTCTTGGTTTGATTGATAGTACAAGATAGTATTAAAACAATTAGTCTTTTTTTTTTTTATATATATATATTATGATGTGTATGTTCTTACAATTTAAATTATTATGACAAAAGTTCTTTATTATAATTATTCTTATTCAAACTCAATTATTGGAAAATAAAAACAATCATCTTTATATAGTTATATCTTACATTATAACAAATATATTTCCGTTGATTGGTTTAATTTTTGCAATGCTCCTAGTATATTTTTCTAGCAAAAATCTTGCATTGTTACTAATTGTTAATTGGTTAATTATTGGTTAATATTGGTTCTATAATGATATCAAAAAATATTTTTATGGCAATTTATTTGTTATCATGTGAGTTCAATCAAGGACTACGAACAATTAAGATTATGGAAAGGCTTTTTTAGCCCTTAAAATTTAAAAATCAACTTTTAATCCATATGTTTTTTTAACAGTACTTATTCATAATTGAAAACTTGTTGCACAAATTTGGGCTGAGAATGTAATTTATGTTGACATTACTTTTGATTTGATGGTGTGATAACTAAGTTCAGTTTCGCATTTTTAATTTAAGAGCATGCAAGATATATATATATATATATATATATATATATATTTGAGTAGGAATTTGGATGCAAAATACCTAATTAAATCTAATTGGTGAGGGAGTTAGTGCAATAACTGACTTGAGAATTCTTCATTAAAATTTAAAAAGTAAAAGTGAGGTTATTCTTCATTAAAATTCAAAAACATAAAAGTAAGATTATTCGTATTTCAGTTAATGCACTAAGTCTCTCACCAATTGGATTCAATTAGGTATTTTGCGCTCAAATTTCTACTATATATATATATATATATATGAATAAATCATTAGAACTATTAATTTATTATTACCATTTCCGTTTCTGGTTCTGATTCTGCAAATTAAATACGTTCATCCATCAAATCCTTACTTCTTCCTTTTTTACTCTCGATCGATCTTCACTTCGCTTCTCTTTCCAAATCTTTATACTTTATTCCCACCTAATTTAGGCTTTTCTTTTTAATCTCTCTGTTTCTATCTAATTTCTGTAAAATTAAAAAAGTAAAAGTGAGATTATTCTTCATTAAAATTCAAAAAAATAAAAGTAAGATTATTCGTATTTCAGTTATTGCAGTAAGTCTCTCACCATTGGATTTAATTAGGTATTTTGCACTCAAATTTCTACTATATATATATATTTGAATAAATCATTAGAACCATTAATTTATTATTACCATTTCCGTTTCTGGTTCTGATTCTGCAAATTAAATGCGTTCATCCATCAAATCCTTACTTCTTCCTTTTTTACTCTCGATCGATCTTCACTTCGCTTCTCTTTCCAAATCTTTATACTTTATTCCCACCTAATTTAGGCTTTTCTTTTTAATCTCTCTGTTTCTATCTATTTTCTGCAAAAATCAAGCCAGATCAAGACGGCTCTATATGTTCCTCTTGGCTACAGGATCAATTCTACTGATTCTGAACTTGCTTGCCATTATCTTTACAACAAAGTCATGGGCTTTCCTCTTTCTTGTCCTCACATTGTTCAGGATTATGATTTGTACGGTCAAGAGGAGCCCTGGCAAGTTTGGGACAAATTTGGAGGATCGAATAATGACGAAGACGACGACGGGGCTGGTCCATCCACTCTGGATCTTTTCTTTTTCACCACGTTGAAAAAGACAAACCCTAAAAGCTGATCCTCCAAATTTGAACATGCTGTTTGCTCCGATGGTGGCCGTTGGCATGGTGGCCACCTTCGCACTTTCCATTCTAATGGAATTACTTGGAATCGCAGGAGATGTCGCTAGAAGAATCCCAACATAGGCTGATGCTTCCTGGATTATGATGATGGTTAATTGGTGACCGAATTCATTGATTCATATTTTCGATATTATGCATTCTATTCTTTCTAGTTTCTTATGTGATGATGGTGCTGCATCATCATGCTTGCTGCAAGAAACCAATTTTGATGGCGATAGTTTTGATTTTGAAGATTGCGTATCCTTTGCATCTATGCTTCAGGTTTCAGGTACAGCTAGACTAGTGGAATAGGTTGCTGTTTTAGTGGTCTGCATACATGCATCAACTTCTTAATGGAACGTCAATGTTAATTGTGTCAACGAAGACTGCTGCTGATTTTAGAAACAGGACATAATTTTGTAGTGTTTAGTTAGCAAATAATCTTCATGCATTTTTCCCTTGGATGCTGTTTTAACTTTTTGTTATTCATGTAGCTGATTATACTTTAGTTTGTAATGAGATTCAATTTGTACGATTTGGGAATCATAAAACTCTGATGATTTAGGAGAGTAGCGTGGGAAGTTTGGATTTCTATCTTGACTGTTTTAAATTGAGACATGTTTGCAATGTTCATGTAATTGAACGTACACAATGAGAATATGTGGTTATTCTGTAGCATTATAAATAATTTCATATTTGCTAATGTAACTTTCTGGCCACTCTATCTTCTGCCATAAACCTTACCCCCATTTTCATTTGTTAGGTCTCTTTAAACTTTGATCCCTGACTTGGGCAGGACATTATGTCCTTAGTGCCATTGCTGGTTTGCGGGGAATACATTTTATGAAAAATGTTCGTGACATTATTATAGAACATATTAGTCATTGATAAGAAGATTAATAACTTACAATATAACATTAAAGCTAGTTATACTGATATGACTTATTTGCCTTCTTTCTTTTCTCATTTTGCTGTCTTTCTTTTTGTTTTTCACTGCTCCTTTCTTTTTTTTTCCATTTTATTGTAGGATGAAGGGTTCTAATTGTGCTGGAAAAGCTCGGGCATCAATGTTACCTAAGCATCATAACGAGGCATCAACTTTTGACGCACACTCGGCAACTTGTAATGTCAGTCTCTCTTTTCAATTCAATACCTTCATATTGTTTCCTTCACTCATGATTCGAACTATCAGTTGTCTATCGCTGCATAATTATTTTAGATTCAATGACTTTCTTAGTTCAACTGGAGGGATACAGAGAAGTGGTGGGGTCTTTCGTCAAGAAGATTTTTTTCTATTGGCTATTGAAGATGATTCATTGTTTATGTTCTTTCTTCTCTAACAATTTTATCTTGAGTAATGCTAATCTTACTAAAAACTTCTCACCGAACTCACTCACTTCCCTGCAAATTTCAATAATTGAATTTATGGGATTGACTATTCTCCAGCCCCATAATGTGCAAAAGTGGAAATATCTCTTGGAGTGTTTGCAGCTCTACTGAATGTTAGCTTTCTCTATGTGTTCTATTATTCCTTTTTGCTCTAGATTTTGCAATTTATTGCTTGAAAGTATCACATAGAGCTAATACTTGGGTGCACCTGGTTGAAATATTCGATTTTTTGCCAGAATGGTTATGCTCAGGAGTTTTAATGATATGTTACAGCCTTAAAGAATACTAGAGGAACTCAAGTTTGTCATATGCACCTTAGGCTGTCTGTTGAGGCATAGATGTCCGAAAAGAATTTAACCTATTGCAAAGATAATTGACTTGTTTAAGTTAATGGTTGTTAATTGGTGACTGAATTCCTTGATTCATATTTTCCATATTCTGCGTTCTATTCTTTCTGGTTTCTTAGGCGATGATGGTGCTGCATCATCATGCTCGCTGCAAGAAACTGATTTTGATGGTGGTAGTTTTGATTTTGAAGATTGTGACTCCTTTGTGGCTATGCTTCAGGCTTCAGGTCCAGCTAGATTCATGGAATAGGGAGCAGTTTTAGTGGTCTGCATACATGCATCAACTTCTTAATGGGACGTCAGTGTTAATTGTGTCGATGAAGATGACTGCTGATTTTAGAAACAGGACATAATTTTGTAGTGTTTAGTTAGCAACTAATCTTCATGCATTTTTCCCTTGGATGCTCTTTTAAATTTTTGTTATTCATGTAGCCGATTATACTTTAGTTTGTAATGAGATTCAATTTGTATGATTTGGGAATCATAAAACTCTGATAATTTTGGAGAGTAGCGTGGGAAGTTTGGATTTCTATCTCAACTGTATTAAATTTAGACATGTTTTCCAGGTTCATGTAATGGAACGTATGCAATGAGAATATAAGGTTATTCTGTATTGTTATAAATGATTTCATACTTGCTCATGTAACTTTCTGGCCACTCTATCTTCTGCCATAAACCTTACCCCCATTTTCATTTGTTAGGTCTTTTAAACTTTGACCCCTGACTTGGGCAGGACATTATGTCCTTGACCCCATTGCTGGTTTGTAGGGAATATATTTGATGAAAAATGTTCGTGACATTATTATAGAGCACATTAGTCATCGATAGGAAGATTAATAACTTACAATATAACATTAAAGCTAGTTATACTGATATGACTTATTTGCCTTCTTTCTTTTCTCGTTTTGTTGTCTTTATTTTTGTTTTTCTCTGTTCCTTTCTTTCTTTTTCCATTTTATTGTAGGATGAAGGATTCTCCTTGTGCTGGAAAAGCTCGGGCATCAACGTTACCTAAGCATCATAATGAGGCATCAACTTTTGAAGCACACTCGGCAACTTGTACTATCAGTCTCTCTTTTCCCTTCAATACCTTTATATTGTTTCCTTTACTCATGATTCGAACTTTAGGGCCTCTGATGTACTTACAGATCGTATAAGTCAGGTGAAACATGAAAAACATTGGAATTGAATCCAAATAAGCAATGAAGGAATTGCTCATCCAAACACTGAAACTGAAGAGATTGTGTAAATTGGGTAAATATCTATTCGTGCATTCAATGCTTATGAATTTAGAAGTTTAATTAGCATTATGGTTAATTAATTTGCAATGTAATTGAATTTTGGTTTAGACATATCTTATGTATATGTCTGTATGTTGACATAAATGGATAATATGATAATTTAGTGGAATAAGATGGAAAGCTTGGAACTGTTTTTGGTCAGGTTTGTAATGTTGACATGTCTGCACAATTAATTTTTTTTTCCCCAAGAGTTTAGCTTTTCTAAAACTATTGCATTATTATTCACATACATAACATGCAATTCCTAAGCTGTATCAGAACATTCTTTTGAGGTGACCATGAATATATACCACATTTTACGTTTCTTTTGGTTTATTTAAATCGGGCGCACACGCACACATGTTAATGCATGTATAGTCAAGTATTACTTGTCAAAAGCTTTTTATAAGACAAATCACTCACAACCTGCTAATTGTCAAAACTTTCTGACATTGCATCATTTTTTTCCTTTCCTTTTCTTTCTCTCTCTTTTTTTTTTTTTTTTTTTTTTTTTTTCTGAGGAACTCTGCTTCTATGGTATGTGCTGGGTGCCTAATCTGGCCTTCAATCTAAGCACAATGTGAGTTCAGAATTTAATATTAAAATTTCATGTAGCACGAGAGCACTCAAATGTGTCAGCTTTGCCATGGGGGGCCACCAATCTGATCTGACTTCTTGCAGAAACTGAGGTATTTTTCTTCATATCCTTTAGGATCTTATTGTTGAAGGGATGCTTATTGTTAGCAACTGTGCCCAGCTCGGTATTATCACTCACACTCTTCCCTTTCTTCTCATCAATAATTTTTCCATTGCTTTCTTTATTGTGGTCACTGATATGATGGCTATATGATGATGATGATAGATTTGCCTCTATCAGATTCCCACTCCGTCGGATGTCCCATAAGGGATGCCTTTCTTCGACCTAGTATCTATACTTTATTTTATCAGTACGTTCACATGCATATAAATATCGAATAGAGATGCATTAGGATTTTCTACTACTATAACCAAGGAAGAGCTTCTCTCTTTTTTGGGGTGGATGGGACATCTGAGATTTATAAATCTTTGGTTCTTAGTCTTTGTTGTAAATCCTTTATTCTGGGTCCACTCCTAAGAAACTGACTGTTCAAAAGGATTGCAAGGGAAAAACCATGGGCTAAAGAATCTTTGAAATGTTGGTTTCTTGATTGATCTTCTTTTTAAAATTTGATGTAGAGGCATCATAGGATAAAAAAGCTAAAAGGACTCATTCTGATTCTAAGCTGTTAGAGATACTATTATGGGCTTTGAGGAATATATCTTTGCTAAGCTAGTTATCTTTCTGTTGGTTGTCCCAGCAGCCTAGATGTTATATTCTATGCCCCATCAGTTGTCTATCGCTGCATAATTATTTAAATCCAATGACTTTCTTCGTTCAACTGGAGGGATACAGAGAAGTGGTGGGGTCTTTCGTAAAGAAGATTATATGCTATTGGCCATCGAAGATGATCCATTGTTTGTGTTCTTTCTTCTCTAACAATTTTTTCTTGAGTAATGCTAATCTTACTAAAAACTTCTCACCGAAGTCACTCACTTCCCAGCAAATTTCAATAATTGAATTTATGGGGTTGACTATTCTGCCAGCCCCATATTGTCCAAAAGTGGAATATCTCTTGGAGTGTTTGCAGCTATACTGAATGTTAGCATTCTCTATGTGTTCTATTAATTCCTTTTAGCTCTAGATTTTGCAATTTCTTGCTTGTAAGTATCACATAGCGCTAATACTTGGGCGCACCTGGTTGAAATATTCGATTTTTTGGAGGAATGGTTATGCTTGGGAGTGTTAATGATATGTTACAGCCTCAAAGAATGCTAGAGGAACTCAAGTTTGGCATATTCACCTTAGTCCGTCTGTTGAGGCATATATGTCCGAAAAGAATTTAACCTATTGCAAAGATAATTGACTTGTTTAAGTTAATGGTTGTTAATTGGTGACTGAATTCCTTGATTCATGTTTTCTATATTCTGCGTTCTATTCTTTCTGGTTTCTTAGGCGATGATGGTGCTGCATCATCATGCTTGCTGCAAGAAACCGATTTTGATGGCGGTAGTTTTGATGTTGAAGATTGCAACTCCGTTTTGTCTATGCTTCAGGCTTCAGGTACAGCTAGATTCATGGAATAGGGAGCAGCTTTAGTGGTCTGCATGCATGCATCAACTTCTCAATGGGACGTCAGTGTTAATTTCTAGAAACAATCAAAATTCAAGAAATTTCTACAAACAACTCCATTGAAATATTTATTGTGGAATAGAGTCATTGTCTTGGCTTTCATGGCAGTCCTTGTCAGAGGCTTTTAGTTCTTTATCCAAAATTTAAAGCAGTCAGAGTCCAAAAATTTTGATAGCTGTCAGCAATGGTTTGGTATTTTTTTGGTTTCTTATTCGAAGGATGTCTCGTTTTGCTTCCTACAATTTCTTTTCATTTGTACCTTGGTTAATAAAATTCTGTCAAAATAATAATAATAAGTACAATCAATAAAGAATTAAGTAAATAGAAAACAACCTAAATGTATCATTAAGGAAATGAAGGCTATATGATTTGAGAATGAAGAGTTATGGTAATTGGAATGATTTTGCCTTCATGCAGCACCGGTGTGGAAGCACTTACTAAAGATTTAGTTGACTCATTGATTAAAGTGCTGAGAAATGTCGAAGGTACACAAACAATGTCATTGGTTGAAGTTAAATGACTTGAACCATGCAACAAAAATGGCCTTTGTACTTGGAGGGAATGTTAGTTGTTATGAGTTTTGGGTGAAGGATTTTTGTGCTGATGTTCAATTAGGAGAATTGTCTCCATACCTTTAATGATGGCACAGTTCAATGCAATCTTTGGTAGTGGCGTATATAATTTATATTCAGATATTTGGCCTTTCATAATATCTCTTTTAAGTTGCTCTCTTGGCAGTTAAGCAAGTTTTTTGGCTGATCAATGCCTCTCTTCAGCTTTGTCCTTGCTAGACGATAGCATTGATGCCCGATTGGTTTGGCTTGGCTTATCCTTGAAGACGCTAAAGAAGATGAGGCTATTTCTTTGCTTTCTCCTCCCAAAGATTTGGGTAACATTGTTCTGATAATTTTTTCTCTCTCTTTATTTCAAAATAGTTTACTTTTTTGGAAAGCACTCATGATCTTTCTTTATCTCATGGTTTATATATACAGATTTTGTTAATTCAAATTCCAATATGCGAAAACCATGGTGGCTTGATGAAAAAATAAAATTAAAGCTTTGCCACATAAATAAGCAAAGGGGATGCTTCAAGAGTTTGTTAATACAATCTTACCCTTGGTTCGTGAGTCAATTTATGTAAAAACCCTTCGTCGAAAGGTAATTGTAATGCTCTACAATATAAAAAAACTTGTAATGTTAAATCTTTGTTCTTCTGACTCCTTTCTTCCAAATGTCTTAAGTAAAATCTGATCCTGAGAGGATAATATAAATCTTCACAGAAGGTCCATTTTATCTTCGTCTTTATTCACCATTTGCACTCAGATGTTTAAACAAATTTTTAATTGGTAAGTTTCTTATCGTAAGTTGTTTTATCGCTGTTTTATGCTACATAAGCACTTCTACAGAATTTGACTTCATAACTCCTCAAATTTAGTTACAACCTGCAATGCAATGATTTTAGCATTGGAAGTTAGGATCATTTATCTGCATTTCTGGGTTCATTCTATGGTCTGCACCAGGCTGAAGTCACTAAGCACACATTTAGCCTTAGTCGTCGTATATGTCTTTGTTTGATATTCTTTTTTTAGTTACCAACACCATTATTCTCGTTGCGAGTGTGGATTGATTGATTCTCATTTAACTTTAGGTAAAGAAAAGGCTGACAATAAGTGTTCTGCGTGAAAGAATCAGTATTCTGAATGTTCAGGAAAATGATGATGTTTTTGGAGAAGTGAGACCACTGGCTTCTAAATCAGATCTGTGAGTTTTGACTCTGCTGATGCTTTTCAGTTGTAATTTTGATTTCTTAAATTTGTTTCTTCCTTTTCTGTCTATAAAGGCTAACTTCAGAACGTAGGTTGGGTGGTTGTAATTGGTAATCTTTATATAAATTCATTTTCTTGGCATTCATATTTAGAAGTCTGTACCCTTTTTTTTTTTTTTTTTTTTTGGAATGAACTCTCGACTTGTGCTTAAAATTTTCTCATCAGAAGTCTTGTTTGGAGGCAGCAAGAATACTGTAATTCATCTCCTACAGGAAAGGTGACCCGTGATGATAAGGGTGTTTTCACAGTATATCTGAATGATTCTGAAGCCAGAAAGCACTTGCTCAACCACCGTTTAGTGGATAAGTTCCAAAAAAAAAAAAAAAAGATTGTTTAGTGGATCAAATAGGTTGGAGAGATTCTGCTATACATAGAAGTGACATTTTGGTCTGAATTGATGCTCTTTTTTATGCTTTCAAGTTGCTAGGATGGTGGAAGCACCTTTTTGTTTTTGTTGGTGTCTGTAACCATGATTGAAGTTCAGTAAATTGTAAACAGTAGTTAGTGATGGTTCCATGGCATTCAAATCATTTTAGAATGGCGGGATTGTTCGTTTGTTGTAAACCATTGCTTTGTCTTTGGATTTTATTTATTTTTGGGACTGTTTGGACTGCAATTACATCATCCTTGGAATTATAATCTTTTTGTCATGTGCCATTTGTAACTTGTGGTTCTCAGAGGTGGATAATGATTCTGAATTCATGTCGAAGTCTAGATGGCAACAATCCTAACTCAAATGCATGCAATAGGTTCCATAGCTGGTTTCTCTATGTTTGATAGGTTTATTGATGGCATCAATGAGGTTGAGTGAGGGCAGACAGAAACAGCATTACTAAAATCACAAATGACATGAAAATCAAAGCAAAGGTTGGGATCTTAGTGAAAGAGTAGAAACAGAATATTGTCAATTTCAGAAGATAGGGGGTGTTACTGTGTTAGTAAACGTGTTGTTTTTGTCAAGGTTGGGGTCAGGGGGGATAAATTAGTGGAGAATTAAACCTGTTCAATTGGTTAGATTATCTTAGCAAACGAGGCCGACCACCAGAAGTTAAAAGTACAGAAATTTATTGTCTGCTTCCAGATTCTATTTTTATTTTTACGCAGCATTTTAGCATTGTTTGTCAGATTCTTAGACCATAAATAGGGAATGTTGTGTTTGTATTTGCTTTTTCCTTCCTATCGTGTTGAGGGGAGCAGCTAAGTAACCATTTACTGATGGATACCTGGAACTAGAATGAGAGCTAGCAGAGCAAGAAAGTTGCTTTAAAAGAAGGAAGAATAGAAAGCTGCTGATAAAGCTGCTGGTATTGATTTGCATAGTGATTATTCAGATGATGAATCTCTGGTAAAGTGCAACTGATTTTAGTATGAGTTACCTAAGACATATTCAAGTTACTGGCAAGTTCTTGTCACTTGGCCTGATGAACTGATATATATTTTTCTTTTGGTGGTTACAGCAAGAAATCAGAGTTTCTCCCTTGCATAATTTCTTAAAGGATGAAGTGCATCAGAGTCTTATTATAGATGTTTGTATTTTTTCCGTCATTTATTTTGATTCATCTATGCTTTCTTTTAATTTATTTGCTCGAAACTTATTTAATTTGCACTTGACAGTTTGTTCTAGAATCATTGTTAAGGAATTCCACTCTTGTTGAATAAATTGATAGTTAGCTCTATTTGGTTTGTTTCATAGTTGTGCAAGGCATTGCAATCGTTGCAAAGATATTCTGAAGCTCTGGAGATTATAAATCTCACCCCAGAGATTGTTTTCTGATAAACTGCCTGGTGAGAAGGAGGAGGAACTTCAGTCTCTTTTAGCTCGTAAGTTCTAGGCCTAAAAGACCAAACACCCCCCCCCCCCCACCCCACCTTTGGCCCCACACCCACCTGCAACCACACCCCTATACTTCTCTTCCTAGTTTTCTGTTTCTTTTTTCCCCTCTTTCGCTGTTTATCTTCTTAGGTACCATCATGAAAACTATTCAAGTCTGCTTTTTCCATCAAAGAATAAAATTCTGCAGCCTTTGGGGTTTAACTGAAGCTGACTTTTTTGGTTTTGACTATGTAAGATCTGCAATTCAAAAGCAGCCGCACAGCATTGCTGGCTGGAACTGTTATTACAAAATAGCCTCATTGCCTCAAGGTGACTGTTATTTTATATCTTTATTTTAATTTTCACCACTTTGTTTACCAGTTTCTGGTTTCATATTGAACGTGAAACAGGATGCTGGCAAATTTGTGGAATATGGTATAATGAAGTGGTGACGTGCAAATAGATGTACTCATTCTTGATAATTTTCTCAAATTGTTCTCAAATTCAAACAATCCTATTTACCATTTTCTTAATTTCATACACAACATGAACAGCACGCTGCCAAATTTGTGGAAACTGGTATAGTAAATTGGTGATGTACAAATAGATGCACTTATTCTTGATTATTTTCTCAAATTGCTCTCAAACTCTCACAATCCTTTCAAGTTATTGACTATATAATTTAGTTTATCATAGTTTATCAAATTGCACATGCCATTGTCATATTCATTGATTGAAACTTACATCTTGAATCTTACTAGCCTTTTGTTTACTAGTCTCTCTGGCATAGTATCTGTGCATTCTGACTGATGTTTACTTGTCATCCAAAAAAAATAAAAAAAGGGTTTGTTCGAGTTTCATTCTTTTTTGTTTCCTTCTCTTTGCTTGTGGACCTTGGTGACCTTAACATAAACATGGTATTCATGCAGCCTGAAAACACGAAACCTGAAGCAGGAGAATGTTCATTTATATGACCACTTTCACTTTTGTTTTCATCTTGTTATTCATTCATGGATTTCTCATGATATCATAGATTGGGAAAGAGCTATTCAAAGCATGCCAAATTTCTACGTTATATGCGAAGCAACACAAAAATTGTGTTCCACCTATTGTCATTTCTGCTCATCAGTTTACCATGCTCAGTCATCATCAAGATGCTGCAAGAGAATACCTAGAAGCTTATAAACTGATGCCAGAATGTCCTCTAATTAATCTGTGTGTGGGTAAGGTTTTATTCGACTTTTCTTCAACAATTTATTTATATTTGCAGTCTTATTAAATTATACAGTGAGAGATGATATGTTATGTTTATTTCCTATCTATTTTGTTTTCTTCTCCAGGAACTGCCTTGATCAACTTGACCCTTGGATTTAGACTTCAAAATAAGCACCACTGTCTTGCACAAGGCTTAACCTTTATAATAATTTACAGGTGACAGAGAATAGCCAGGTTGGGTCCTTCGTCATATGTACATGATTTTAGTTTATGTGATTCATGCTTCTGTAAGTCAGACACTTTTGATAACTCATTGAGGTTGATCAAAATTTCTCCTTGTCAATAAAAAATTGGTATTATAGAGTCCATTGGTGAAAACGAGGTCAAAGAATGTTGAGGTTGCTTGCACAACTTTATACCAAGTATTTTTATCAAAGCATCTATATTGCTGTGTATTGGGTAAGGAAAACAAAACTTGACCTAACTTGACATTTAGCTTGCCATATGCATCCACGTGTTCTTGGAAGCACAACAAATTGGAGTTCCTTTAATATGATCTTGGGCAATTATTAGTGTGTCCATGTAATTAAACATAATCAGTTCAATCGAATAATGGTTGATTTTTTCAAAGTTGCTTTAATTGGGTCAGTTTCCAATTAAAATCATTGACAACCAAAATGCAGAAGCTTTAGTCATTTGATCTTGATGCTATTTCTAATTGGCCAACTACAAGCTACTGCAGCAGTTGGATTCCTGGCATCCGTATCATTGATGCTTGTTGGCCATTGATTCAATTATGTCTGTTGCTTCTTGTATTTGTTTTTCCATCACAACGACCTAACTTTAGCAATAGGCACCTAACTCCATCAATTCCTACCTACCCAGAGCTGAGCTATTGTAGAACTTTCATTATTTTATACATATATGATCTGCTACTATGTTCTAGATTTTGTTGAGCTCTATTACCTTGCATGCATTTCAGTGATCTTTTGACTATGTATAAAAAATCAGTAACGTTTGTTGGTACATGAATATGACACATGCCCTTCTGTTTTGGGTGGTTAGGGATTATATGGAACTGAATAGTTACCAAAACTTTTATTATTTTCTGTCCCTATTAAAGCTACCTTCTGGATCATAGGCAGTTCCATTTTGACCCCTAACTGCTCAATTCATTCAGTAGAACATACATTGTCTTTCAACTATCAGCCTACTGAGAGATTATTTGGGCAAATTTGTCAAGTTGTTCTTTTCATCTGCTATCATATACTCAGCACTTTTTCTCAGCGTCTATGATTTTTTTAAAGTTTCTGTATTTTCTAATGTGGCTGCTAATTCCTTGTATGACAAATGCTTGAATTGTTGAAAGCAACATATGGTCAATCTTGTTCCCTCTTTGTGGATTTTTGTTTGGAAAATGGTACCAAATTAATACTATTGCCGGTGCCTATCATCATGTTGGACTAGTGTCTTTAGCAGCTTCACACTAGGAAAAGGTGCTTGCAACCTGCGAGAAGGATTACCCCATTCCGAAACTTGAATGAGAATTCAGAAATGGAAAATATGAAACTAGGTTATTGTGATCTGTGCAGAGAAGCAGCCTATAATTTGCATTTAATATACAAAAACAGTGGAGCATTTGGTCTTGCTAGGCAGGTCTTGAAAGATCACTGCACTTTCTGACTAAATATCTTTGATGCTAAAATATAGCTCTGTAATCGAGCATTGGATTTTGGTAAATTTATGTAGATTATTAGATTTGCTTAGATAAATTTACTATTTACCTTATTTCAATTTGTGCCTTTGTTTTTCATGGACTTCACATATTTTTTAACCTTTTTCTTTGGGGAAGGAGATTCTTTGTGGTGCCTTGTTCAATTTTAACCGTATTGGGAGTTTTCCAAAGTGATAGAAACTTTACTATCATTTATCTTTATTTAGGATGATTTAGAAGGCTACAAGAATGATTTTATTGTTACTAATTTCACCTTCTATCTTTTGGACGCATATTGTCATAAAGGATTATGGATTTACAGGCTACAGGTAAGCTAAAACATCTATACACATTACAAGAATTCATATAATTTACTAATAATTGCGAATTTTCAATCCTAACATTTGCATTCCTCACCAAATGCAGCATGGTGCGTAATGAGGTTAGGAACATCACTCATTCAGTCGATGGGAAATCTGTATCTGAAGTTTATCGTGTGACAATCTATTGGATTAATGCTGAGGTATCTTTCTTCCTTTATAATAGTTTTCATGTACGTATGTCATACATATGTCCTTTGAATGATTTATAGTTGATTGCACGCTTGAGTTGTTTAGCCATTTGTTTATGGTGAGCATCGGCTGTCCAATTTCTTCAATCATGGTGCCTTTAAGCTTGTCCTGTGGCTGCTTTCTAGCTCATAAGCTTAGGTTCATGACATGATATATTGACAATAATGGTTCATGGGAAAGATAAGATTGATTGATAAATTTACATATAGCTTCTATGCATTAACCAATAGTAGTAGTTGTGGAAGGAATAGAAGGTTTCCAAGCGAGAGAGAGGACATTGTCGATCATAGTAGCTGTGCATATGCATTTGTGAGGTGCTCTTCTTATTTCATATTTTTTTCCTTCTGAAACGGAGAAATTTTTCTGATTTTGTTAGGAAAAAATTATTCATTTTAAAAAGAAGCCTAGATGTGAAGAACTCCATTGACAAGGCATTTATCTAATGCAAGAGTAGAGAGTAAAGCTAATAGAGCGGCTCACAACATGGATGATTTCTTTATTTCTTCTTCTTAATTCATCCATTTCTTTCTCTGTTTTCAGAAGAGGCTTTTTTTAAGAAGAGGCTTTTTCTTGTGAAGGACCTATAACAATGTGGTGAATGAGGCCGAATGAATAAACAATGTAGAACATCATAAGACCTAAAACTCGTTCAAGGATGAAGTTTGCCTTTCCACTTAAGGTATTTTAGTTTTTGGCGAGCTGAAAGTTAGGATTTCTAGAGAAATTCTGAAAGTTGTGATCAATTAATTTGCCTTCTTTTTGTGGAATGTTACACATCTGCATGAACTTGGGCATGCAGATTAGGGTTAAGCTTTTGCAACCCTTCTTCTGTAATCCAAGTGCAATCAGAAAATGAACGTCCTTTACGCTTGACAAGGAACTTTTGGTAGCCTCCAGTTCTAATAGAAACCATTTGATAGTCAAAAATGTGTTCAATCTCGTTTTTTGTGTTGTAGTGCTGGTGGCAATCGAGAAACAGCTGAATCAACAATTGGATCCTCATCATGACCACGATACAAAGTAAGATCTTCAACATTAAAAGTACTACTTATGCCCATGTCATCTGATAGGTCTAGGACATAATCGTTGGAGCTAATCTTCTTTAGAACCTTGTAAGATCTGGTACAATGTGAGTGAAGCTTCTTAAATTCACCTTTAGGATACCGCTCAGGTCTGATCCGCACCAGAACCATGTCACCTTCCTCGAACTCAACAAACCTTCTTCGCAAATCCACATGAGAGTTGTAGCTTGCATTGCTAGAAGCAATCTTTCGAAATATATTATCATGTAAAGCTTCTGCTTCTATGCTAGGACGAGTCTCAATAGGCAAGGGAACCAAATCAATTGGCTTTCTTAGAAGCATACCTGTCACATTTTCAAAGGGACCGAGTCTAGTACTTCGATTCAGTGAACTATTATAAGCAAGTTCAGCCATAGGAAGAACTCTATCCCAAGTAGAAATATGATCACCAACACAACAACGAAGAAGATCACCCAAACCTCTATTAGTAACTTCTGTTTGGTCATTTGTTTGATGATGAAAAAAGAAGAAAATTTCAGCTTTGTGTTAAACATCTTCCATAAAGAATGCCAAAAATAACACTCAAACTTCACATCACGATCAAAGACAATTATCTTTGGTAACCCATGAAGTCTAACAACTTTTTTAAAGAAAAGCTAGCAATATGGACAACATCAGATGTTTTTGAATAAGGGATAAAGTGAGCCATCTTTGAGCAACGATCCACAACCACAAAGATAGAATCATGGTCTCCTAAAGTTTTAGGTAAATTGAGAATAAAATCCATACTTAAATCTTGTCAAGGCTTATGAGATAAAGGTAAAGGCATATACAAATCGGTATTCTGTCTCCTTCCCTTAGAGATTTGACAAGTATGACATCTTGCAATAATCTAAGCAACATCCCTTTTCATACGTAGCCAATAAAATCTATCCTTCACCATTGCAATGGTCTTATCTCAGTCAAAGTGTCATGCTGCACCTCCAGCATGTAATTCACGCACCATTTCTTCACGAAGAGATGTGTTAAGCAAGCACAAACGAGTTTCCCTAAAAAGGTATCCATCATGTATGGAAAAACTAGGATGCTCATCATGTTTTCCAGCTAATAAATCAGCATAGATGGTGCTGAAATCCTGGCTAGAAAGGTAATCTTTCTTGAGCAAGTCAAAACCAACAACTTGAACATTCATTCAATTAAGAACTAGTGTCATATGGCCAACTGCATCAGCTGCCTTGTTTTCAATTCTAGCCTTATGTTTGAGAACAAAAGTGTATTCTTGTAAGAAAGAAACCCAATTTGCATCGCGATAGTTTAGCTTCTTTTGAGAATTTATATATTTGAGCGTCTCATGATCAGAGTACAGCACAAACTCCTTAGAAATTAAGTAATACCGCTAGTGTCCTAGTGCTTGAATCACGGCATAAATTTTTTGTCATAGGTTAAATATTTTTGTTTTGTCGCATTAAGTTTTTCACTAAAATAAGCTAGTGGATGCCCATCTTGGCTAAGTACACCACTAATACCCATTTGAGATGCATTATAAGCCACCTCAAATACTTTAGAGAAATCTGAAAGATGTAAAACATGAGCCTTGTTCATCATCCTTTTGATTTCTTAAAAAGCCTTTGTTGTTGTCTTTGTCCGGACGAATTGACCTTTTTTCAAACAATTAGTTATGGGAGCCATTATGGTGCTGAAATCTTTAATAAATTGCCTATAAAAAGTAGCTAATCCATGAAAACTTCTTACTTGACTCAAAGTGGTTGGGGCTGGCCATTCCCTAATGGCCTTCACCTTATCCGGATCAATTTCAACTCCCTTTGATGAAACAATAAAACCTAGGAACACAACACTTGAAGTCATGAAAGAACACTTCTTTAGGTTGATGTAGAGTTTTTTTTTTTTTGGCTAAGAACTCTCATTATCCGTTGAAGATGAGAGATGTGCTCTTCCTTGGTCTTACTGAAAATCAAGATATCATCAAAGTAAACGACGAGAAAATGACTAATAAAGGGTTGGAGTATTTAGTTCATAAGGAGCATTGGAGAGCCCAAATGGCATGACTAGCCATTTGTAAAGTCCATCCTTGGTTTTAAAAGTTGTCTTTCATTCATCACCAAGTCTGATTCGTAACTGATGATATTCACTATCAATACACATGCGTCACGTATCATATTTTTTAGATGTTAGTAATGCTGGAACAACACAGGGACTTAGACTTTCGTGAATAAATCCTTTAGACAGCAGCTCATCGACTTGCTTTTTGAGTTCAGCATGCTCACTAGGATTCATCCGATATGCTAGAATGCTAGGTAGTTGTGAGCCCGGAACAAGATTAATTACATGTTGAATACTACGTAAGGAAGGCAATTCCTTAGATAGATCTTCCGGTACAACATCGGAGAAGTTTGATAAAAATCTAGTCACCTCCGGAGTCAAATTAAAAATAGGAGCAGACAATCGACTTTTCTGTCTCTCTTGTAATAACAACAAAAATCACCTCGGACTTGGAGCTTGTTGCTTGGAATTGTCTCTTAGCCAATACTTGGAGATACTTCCTTGTAGTGCCACCGTTGTGGATCAGCCATCGTGCGGATGTTTATTTATTGCTTTTATTTATTATTTATTAAGAATAAGTCAAATTAGGAAAAGAATATAAGAGTTTTAATTGGTTTAATATTTTAATTAAGACTTTCTATGTGAGTGTGAGTCTATTTAGGCAATAGCCTATTAGGGTTTTGTCTTTATTTTTTAGCCGCTTTTATTATATAAAGAGCGGATGTTTTTTTAATAAAGGTATCGAATAATTAAGTTAAGAAAAACCCGGGAGAGTTGGTGGTCTCTAAAACAAACCATCTATTGTTATCTCGTTCACAATAGGTTCTTCACGAAAGAATCGAAACGTGAATAAGGCAAAGCTAATTGATTTCCCCATTAATCGACCCTTGACAAGATCGTTAACTCGGGACCATAACAGCCACCAATACTTTTTGAATTCCGAGACTTCTCTTCATACTTCTTGATGTTAAGTGAACTCATTGGCCTTAGGACAATAACTTTCTTTTCAAAGGAAAAGTAGTATGTATTCTCATGTTCATCATGTTTCACATGTCAATCAAAAAAGCCAAGGTCGACCAAGAAGAATGTGAGCAACTTGGATAGGAACCACATCACACAATATAAAATCATTGTAGGATCCATAAGTAAAGGCAACAAGACATTGTTGTGTTACGGGATGGTTGTGTTCTCAATCCAAGCTTCTTTGTATGGTTGTGGGTAAGGGTTGATAAGAAGCTTGAGGCGGTCAATTGTGGATTTTGAAACTACATTCATACAACTCCCACCATCAATTATAAGTTTTTTGGCTTGATTCCCACAACCAACCAAGGTTTGAAATATTGTAGATCGTTTTCAATTTTCATCTTTTTCTACTTTAGGGGCTGCAAGAATGCGCCTAATAATAGATAAAGGAGAAGTATCCTTGTCATTGTCATTAGCAAGATCATCAATTTCATAAGTTTCAAATTCAAGTGAATTGTCGATTCTTCTTGTGTTTAATCTCTTTGCTCGATCCCAATATGCAAACTATTCTTCTTAGGACATTGGTAAACCATGTGTCCATGCTTCCCACATTTAAAACGAGACGGATCTTTTGTTATCTCTATCTTTAGTGTAGGTTATATTAGAAGAATATGGTTTTGATTTAGTGTAGGTTACATTAAAAGAAGATGGTTTTGAGACATAAGAATGATTAAAAGTTTGTGGAGAGGTTGGCCTTACTTCGCATTCATGTCATTGTACCTTCGTGTTGTTGTACCCTCGGCTTGAAGCTTAACTTTCCTTGTAACTAGTTGCTTTAGGTATTCATCCGCGTCGAGTCGCTATTTGACATACATGCTCTACACTCTGTAAAGATCTTTCCCAAGTAATTCCCTTTTGATATCGGCTCTCAAACCAACCTTGAATCGAGCTAGAGGTTGTTCGGGATCTTCCACAATCCGACCTTTGATATTTAGCTCTTTAAATTTTTTCATATATTCATTAATAGTTAGGTCGCCTAGTCGTAAAACATAAGTCGCCTCACAAATCTTTTGAACATAATTGGTT